ATGACGAACAGGAAGAGACTGAAGAACAATTTACAGTGCCAACTTTGAATGATGTTCTTAATGTTGTCAGTGTATTACGAAAAATTGTTCTTTTTAATGAACAGTTTCACGTGCAAGGAAATTATGCCGATACATTAATTAAAATTCAACAGGAACTACATGGTGCGTACGCACGACACAAGTGTTCCAAACAGACTAAAATTACAGATTTTATTAATATAGAAAAATGATAATGTTATGTACATAATGCCTTTTTATTATACGTTTTATGTGAAATAAATAAAATGTAGTTTTATTTTATAAATGAATGTATTAATCAAACATTCAATAAAAGGTATTAGGTACTTAATAACGTCACCGGTTGTTACGACTATCGGTTTTTACGAGTAGTCCCTTCGGTGTCGTTATAACAGATTTTAACTGTACTAAGGAATTGTCATATTTTTTGACCACGGAAACCAACTTCCAGAAATACGTTTGGGAAAGTACCAAATATATCGGGGATTCACAGATATGGCGCAACTGCAAAGGCGAAATATTTTAATAACAATGAACATTCGTTTCTATAAGTGAAGGTTTAGTTTGCTAACAGGATGTGATGGCATATGTGGTGCTCAGATTAAGGAATACCTAACTATCCTTCATGCACTAAATGTCAAAAAGGCGAACTGTTATTATAATTACTGTGCATTTTTTTAACGAAATTTTCTTTCTTCACATAGAGTGAACATATAATTAGTAAAAGAAAAGCTTTGTGGGTGTGGATGAACAAGTTGCTTTAATAGATATTTGAGACTGAAAAAAAGAGAGAGAGAAAGTGTTGCTGCAAGACGTTCCGACATGATTCTGTTTCATCGACAGTGTCAAGCATTAACAATATCTTTTATAAAATTCTGTTGTTTTTTTAATACTCTAACTAACCAAAAAAGATGCTTGATCTTTTGAGGATTCTTTAATTAATTACATAATATTTCGGTTGTTAATTGATGAGTTTTTGAAGTGAAACTTTTTTACGCACGGCAGGCTAAGTTCGTTTCGTGCGAGTTGCTATGTAACGAAATCATGCAACGGATATCTCGTAGTGGGAATCGCTTGAGCCGTGAGCGCGCTTCAATGCAACGTTCGTTACAGGCAACTCCGGCATGTATAGTGTAAAATTTAAATTCATACTGTACAAATAGTACCATTAAACCAATTCCTTAACCCCTATCCCGGTATGTTTGTGTGTTTGAAGATGTTTCACTTCAGTAGCGTGTTGTATAATTACACGTTGTATTTTTTTTAATATTTAAAGGATTGAATACAATGAATTACTGCAGCTTAAATTTTTCATTAAACATAACAATAAAGTATTTTAAAGGTTAAATCATATTATGCACTACAGTAATTCATAAAATTTTTGTCGCGTTTAAAAATGCGTTTAAGCACAAAATCGATAAGCAGAATAATGGTAATTCCTCAGCGTACAGCCACACACAGCGAGAACAAGCGGAATTATTATCCTTGGAGGACTATGTGTCGCTTTCAGCGTAAGCCACAAGGGTACTGGCTGAACTTGCCTTTCATTGCGCAGCCTTATTTAGTTTGTAGCATCGTTGTTCTGGTTCATTAGCTGAAATTAAGCTTGCTAATGCACTGCTTGTTGTCGACATTATTTGTCATTCTGATTTTCATACTCCCTGGTTGAGACACAGACATACATACATACATACATACGTACATACTACACACATATAAATACGTTCACTTGTACTGAAGATTAATAATTTCACGTGCTCTCATGTACCTACATGTGGGTGTGTGTGTACGTCTTATTTGGCATGAAAGCACATTACCTATGTTTAGTAAATACATTGACAAGCTCCTTTCAATATACCTACTAGATTGAGAAATGTTCCCTGGATGTGTATGCGGTAAACGTGATCGAAATTGTAATTACTCAGTTGACAGCAAGTATGTGGCCTACTTTTGTTCAACCGTCAAAGTAAGTGGGGGTTGCGCGGGGTGCAGCTCCAGAACCCGTTTCCATTACCGATAACTTTCTTCTCGTCGATCCCCGAACATGTTAAGAATTTTTGTCATTGTTTAGAATTCGCGAAATGCTTAACCTCGGAAACTAAAACAAATCCGCTTTAGGTACTTCCGAAACAAAAAGTTTCGTAGGTAAGGGACGAAATGCAAAGTAAATTCTTTTTGTTGCGCTCTAATTAAGAAATAGGCAATCGCCAACATAAACCGCGTGCGACATTAGTTCATAGCACTGCTTCATCATTAATCCCTTCATTTATTTGTGTTGTTGTGGAATATTCGTGATAGTTTCCCGAAATTTCTAGAAGTTTTGTTCTATATGACCTGCGTCATTTTTCTGTCGATTTCGGGTGCATCAAAAATACCGCTGGTATAGATCGCATGCGGCATTCGTTCATAACGCTGTTCCTCCTTAAGATTGATCCACCATCCATCCACTTATTTATGTAGTTGAAAGTACTCATTATAATTTCCTTAAATCTCTCGTTTTTCTTTCGCCACATGTCCACTGCAGGCACATCGAAAATGCCCCGAATATAGATCGCATGCGGCATTCGTTTGTAACAAAATGTCACTTCCTTGAGGATGATCCATGTTTAAGTGGTCGTGCAATATTCGTGGTAATTTCCCGAAAATTATCGTATCTATTATCCGCTGTATGATGTTTGAATGATCTTTTAATTGTGAACATTGTGAGATATTGTAGTGCAACTAATAATTCTTTTTTACCCAAAACTATGGTTTTTAATTTTTTGTAAAATAGTTTTGATAAAACTTCTTCAATTTGACGCATTAGTATTAGTTGGGTACCTACGTACGTAGCCGACAATTGTAATTTAAAATCAATTACAAATAAATAATGAAGGCAATTAATTACCATGTATATATAATAAGACAGAGGCCTGTATTTCTGTAATTCAAAATTTAGCAAGCCCTCAAGTATGTGCTGTAGGTCACGTACAAAGATTTTTGATGAAAATAAAATAACAATATAAAAATGTTGCTGATCGAAAATTTGCCGAAACTTCCTGCTGTGAGCCGCGATTTACAAAGAAGTGACATAGTGTATTTTACTTAAGAAACTTCCGAATTGTTATTTGTAGTAAGTACATTTTTAAATCAAGCATTACAATTAGTACAAAACTAAATACAGTTTTTATAGTTATCATTAATTAGTCGGTGGTCTATTACGAATGTCATAGTAAGTAATTTAGATTTTATTATCTGTTAATATCTCCGAGAGTAAAATAATTCCATTAGCATTTTTTGGAATTTTAGTTTCTTTAATGTTGGTTGTCACCCCCCTCACACCCTTTTGCACCTACTCCACTGCTTTTGTAGTTGCCTTTTCCAGAATATTTCTTTTCCGATGTACCTTTTCTTTCCTTCCATATCTATTTAAGGGAAATACTTTTTTTCATATTACTTTTAATGCGTGGCGGGCGGTAAAGCGTTTTTCGTTCTATTTTGAAATGTGCACTAAAAGGGGATGTAATATTTATCTTTCGTTCTTCTTTTTACTATACATTTACGGATTTGCCACGTAGGTCCTTTCGACTGGTTTTTATTGAAATAATGTTGACTTAGGTACACATTAAATATTTATCATATCGGCAGAGGTTTATCCATTCAAACTTTTTTTAAAGATGTCAAAAATTTATACTTTTAAGGCATATTTAGAGGAGAGATCGGGTTCTATTATAGCGTCTGTTTGGTTGTACTAGATACTTTTTTTTAAAGTATTTTGAATTTAAGAAACAAATTTTAGATTGTAGGTATTTTNGTTTATCTTGTTAATTATAGACGTTTACCGTATTTTGTAACACTTATTGTAATAATAAATAAGCAAGCCAGACAAAGGCCCTGACAGGTACTGACCGACGATAATTAAAAGCGCACATTTTCGAAATAAAAAAAATTACTTGTATCTTTATCCATGGTGGAGACGTTTCTCATTAGGATATGTAGTTGTAAAAGTACTTGCGGCGCTGCCTGTAAATACCCCTGAAGAAAAAAGTACAACTCGATGGTTCGGGGTTCGGACAACTTCTGCAAACTTTCATTTTGCAATTCTTTATCGTCAGTTCTAACGCCTTCTATTGACCAGAAAATCTTCTCGGCGAACCTAACGTTGAAACACATAAAACGAGGACTTTATTTATTAGTTTAGGTATAGTACATCTGGTAGCATTATTGTTTTTTTTTTAATTATAATAACATAATAAATAAAGCAATATTTCATTGTTCGTAAAGTACTGCAAATTCTAGAAATTATTAGTGCTATCAGCACAGGCCAAAGTAGTATTACGTAAATGAAAGTTAGTATCAGCAATTTCACGATGTATTGCATACCTACTTTTTTCCTTTAAATTTTAATCATTGATTACTATAAATCTATTAAAAAACCATAATGGCCGACATCTGTAACAATGCGACAACAATTGAAAAAGAATGATGGCCGACATCAGTGACAATGCGACAACAATTGAAAAAGAATGATGGCCGATAACTACAACAATTACAGAAGAATGATGGCCGACAACTACAACAATTAGAAAAGAATGATGGCCGACACTACGTCATAGTGGAGCAATAAAAATGGCAGGGGGCAGGGGGAAGAACTAGCTTATTTAATTAATTTTCATTTTTTTATCCAACCGTAGGAAAATGTTGTAAACTGCTAATAATACTTATTTAAAATAATTAATAACAAAATGTATATACAGTTTCCAAAAAGTGTTTTCAGGCAGTAAGTGGAAACCGTAAAAGTTTTTTAAAACTTTTGTTTTTCAACATTTTCATACAGTTGCTGCCATCTTCAGGTCGCTTTCGTAAGTCTAAATGACGAAGAAAGAGTAATATGCGGAGGATTTCTATTTGATTCGTATAATTGAAATGTACAATATGCAGATTCCAATAAAAGTACCGTGGGTTCCAATGTTTACAAATATTGGTTTGGATTTATAACAGCAGAGACTAGTAAGCAAGAAGACGAGACATGAACGAGAATAAACGGCCTTGAAAAAAATGAATTGCAAGTTGTAATCATAGTAGGTAGACCTGTGTAATAATCAACGAACAGTCAGTTGATGGTCAAATTGCGTTTTGGCCAAAATGTTTTGTGTATTAAGTGTGATAACGAAAGTAACATAATGGTGTGTAAATAACAAAAATGTAAGTGCAAATTTTCAGTGCTCGTCAATATCAGCTGTGAGAATGTCACGTAGCTGTCACAAAGGCTATGTACAAGAAATGCAGAAAATTAGCTTTAAATCGTACGTTTCCTATCAATTTAGTTTTTTTGGTAGCATGACACAGTTATTATTATCTTTCTAAACCACATTACATATTTTTGTGGCATATGATGGTTAATTAGTTATAGCCTACATAATCAACAATTCCTTTGTTTTCATTGTGGAATGTAATGTTTTGATGTTTCACTATCCCTCAAAATTATTGTTTACTGCTTAAAATACATGCTGATACTCTCAAGGATTAATGAACTACATGTATTTACTCATTACTTTATCTCCATTTTAAAAATACACAATGTAATTCTTAAAAACCATGTTTGTAGTAGTTTAAATTATTGCAGACTTATTTTAGATTATAAAATTAGTGCCTTCCTTCAATGAGAATGCTTTGAGAAATTGTGAAGATGTTGTACGTATTCCATGTTGATGCAGGAACTATGATCACATTTGACATGAGCCTGGCCTTTGAAAAGTATGACATTATATATTATTTAATTATGGCTTCTTTTAAATATAAATGTGTTATGATGGTTTCAGTGTTAGTAATTTAAAACAGTACATTGAAAAGGTTTGCAAAATTCCATCAGAGAAGCAAGTACTTCTAGTCAGTGGAGGTGATTGCTTAGATCCAGATACTCGTGTTAATTTGTATTCTGCAGGTACTGACACAAACCCCATATACCTTTTCAGTAAGTCAGTTATAGAGTCTAAATCTCCTCCATGCTCCATCATTGATTTAGGATTAGATGCAGGTAATTTTTCTATTTTGTACTGTTGTTTGATTTTATAAATAATAAGCACAACTACTATATATGATTATTCCAGATTTAATACAGAAAGCCGGTGATCTGCAAAATTTGCCACCAAAAATAGACACTGTAAATCAAAGAACACATTTAGCACAAAGATTTCATGAATCTGCAAAGGAACAGGCAAAAATATGTGATGATCTTGTACATGATCAGCACCTGCAGCAACAAGGATGGGCAGCTGTGGTAGCAAATTTAGAGGACATTACAGCCCTATTTAAAAAGAGGACAGAAGTGTTTGAAAAAACTTTCCTTGAATTTACAAACGAACGCGAAACTTATCTTAATTTCTTACAACAGTAAGTTTAACACGTTTTCCTGATGATATTTAATTTCTAAAATGTCTAATGCTTTCTAAATTTAGTATATTAAATAAATAATTATTATTAAATGTATTTTCAGTTTTAATGAAGATTTGCAAACATTGGCAAAAATACCTGTATTGCCTCAACTGTTAGAAATCTGTGAGGAAGAAAATAAATCTGCAGAAGCTGAAGAATGCACAGAAAATAGTGATGAAGCTGGTAAAGAAGCAAAGACAACAACATTACTGGAATGGATATCTGCATCTGATAATAAAAGTTCAATGGATCAATTTTTTGAACATTGCTCAAAAGGTTTGGAGCAAGTAAGTTTTTCTGTTCTACATATTATTACAAAAATTGTTATTTTAAATACTCAATATTGATTTCCTGTGTTTATTTGATAATCATTGTAAAAGTAATTATTGCACTTGGAATTTTTATTCTAGTTTAGCGATGAATTATTCAAATCTCTTCATGAAGAAGTGGAACGAGCCATAGAGTCTTCAGAGAAACCTGATATGAAAGAAGTAAAAGGTCTAGGCGATCGATTATTTGGCTTGGATCAGCTAATGTGTGAAGCAAAACGTATTGTTCAAGCACAAGCAGACCTAGCACAATCTTTCTTGCAGGTATATAGTTATTGTGTAAATAATTTAGAGCAAAATATTTACCATTAATTTAAACGGTTTTGAATCGTATTTTAATTTTTTAAGTTTAATTTCGGTATCTTAATACTTCTAGAACCAGGCAAGAGCCAGTGTAATTGGAGACAGTTCGATCCTGCCAGATTTATGCTTGTCTCATCAAAAACAGTTGCAAGTGATGATCCAGAACCACCAAAAGTTGTTCGACATTCGCAAGAGATGTACGAAGGCGAAAGAGGAACTCAGACTGAACCTCTATCATCGTTTAAAATGGGTTACTTATGTTCAAAGTGTGATGCTTGAAACTGATCAAAGACTAGTAGTTTACCATGATAATTTGAAGAGATTGAGAGAGAGTTTGGAAGCACTGCAACAGATTCATTTGGCGCCAGCCACATATCTCGCTGCTGTGGCGGAAGTTGTTAGAAGAAGAGCGTTTTCTCAAGCTTTCCTTGCAGTAAGTTCATTTTAATCATTCATAAAAAAATTGTCACTAGCTGAATGTGGTAAAAAACTTTAAATTCAATGATAAAGACGGACATAAATTATTTATCTTTCTATTATGGAAAGCCAGTGTGTGGTGAAATAAAAATTTTATATGTTTGTGTTTTATTGTGTATTTTTACCTCAAAATACCATTAAACAATATTGCTTTTCTGAATTATTTGCTTTTAACTCCCTTCTTTTTGAAAAATGTTATAAATGTAATAAAAATATTTTAGTGGGCATCTGAACTTGCATGTCACTTACTCACCATCCACAATGAAGAAGTTGCTCGCCGAAAAGACTTTCAGTCCCAGTTTGATGGTCATTTTCTGAATTCTCTCTTTCCTGGTATGAACGATATGCCTCCTCCTTATGCCACTCAAGCCCCTTCGATTTTCGATTCGAGTCTTCCAAAACTCAACGTCGAAGACATTGAAGAGCTGAAAAGAAAGTTGCCAGATTTAGGTGAAAATTTGGGTGTGCCAGACATCTCAGCTATCACGAATTTTTTCATGATAAAGTCACTCGTCAAAGCTGAATTAGATAAGGCAGATGGTCGTGCAATAGAAGAAAAGTTGGTACAAGTTGTGACAGAAGTAGGACTGGCTAGCAATTTAGATCAAAATCTATTGAAACCAGCTGATAGTGAAACATGCCTTGCACCTCATGCCATACCTCTTCTAAAGGATTTAGATAAGTAAGTTTTATTGTTTTGTATTAATACTTATTGATTTCTCTGTTTTAATAGTAGGTACAATTAAAATTTAAACTGTTTCATTTAGATACAGCGTGTATTATATGTTAAGTGAAATTAAGATTTTTCAATAGGGGTTGTGAATCCGAAACCGACACAGAAGAGTTCGAGAAAGTTGGGCAGAGTCCACTTGAACTTCACTTCGACAAAGACGTGCCTTCTGGACGCGCACGAACACAGGACGTTGCAACGCTGACAGAGGTTGGTGAGAAACCGCTTTTTCCCCCGAGAAAACCTCCCCGAACTTTCCTAAAATTCCATCAAAACTCGCAAAGCACCGACACATGTTCAAGTGCTAGTCACTCGAGCAACATGGGTTACAGTCTTATGAACACGGGTGCTAACATTCCGACAAATAACAACAGCGCCAACACGCAACTGCAAAGGACACTGAGCTCAAGTGGCAGTCACAGCAACACTGAAAGTTTTACTAACATCAAAAATCCATCACTGGAATCGATTGACGAATTGGCTAGTTTAAAAAATTTTAATTCGAATACTGAGAGTTGTTTTAATTCTCATCATCAGCAAAGTTTAGCTTGCGGATATGATAACAGTGCTCCACCCATTTCTTCGAAATCCGTTGTCTCACCCTCAGTCCTTCAAAGTCCTATCAAAAACGAACATATCTCCCCCATTTCGCCTATACAAGGCTGTCAGCCCGCGAACGAGTTCGTCACTGACGAATATTACATTGACGAGAGTTTGCCTTCGAGCTTGAGCATTGAAACCGGCGGACACAGTCAAGGGGAATTTGTTAGACAACTAGACAACGCCAACAATGTCGTGGCGTTGCTGCAGGTACATCATAAAAAAAGTAATGTTGTCTTCTTTGTAGCATTTCGTTTTTTTTTTCTTTTTATAAATTTTTGCTTTATTTTTGATTTTATTTGAAATGCCTGATACACAAATTCCCTTTGTTAGTGTAATATGAGGTCCTTAGTTTCTCCTTGTAGGCAATTTTCACTTTTTCAGTTCGCTTGTTACTGCCACTTGAGTATATTATTTGTTGCATGCTTCATAATAGTTTTTGCGAGAAATGAGTGGAAAAATAGACTACCATAATAATATTACATTATAAAAAATAAACTTAGAATAAATCATTATTATAATGGATAAGAAGGCTGAAACAGAAATGGAAGAAAATTTTTTAACTTATGATTAAAGTTTTAGAAATATTCTGTCCTTTCAAAAACAGAGTAGCTACACCTTTAAAATAATAAATATCTAATTCATACCCTTTAAAACAGAACAGTGATAATTTCGTTTTTATTAGGACAATTTAGAAACATCACGAACCGAACAAGATAAATTGCGGTCTACACTTCTCAAGATGTCCGGTTTAGTGAGTCAAACGCTTGCGCAGTTAAGATCCGAACTAACTGATTTAAAAAATTTCTTTTTGTTGGAAAAAGATCATATTGAGGTACAGCATAATAACATGGGGGCTCTGTATAAAAATTTTAGCGAAATAAAGAATATTGAAGTAAAGGAGGCTTTAGGCAAGCTTTCAACAGAATATGAGTCGGAATTAGAGGAGCATAAAAAAACTGCAACACTCAAAACCAACGAAATTAATGATCTGCAAGCTCAAATATCTCATTTGGAGTCTACATTGTCAGAGGCACAGAAAAAGCTGTCGGTTACAACTAAAGATTTGGAAGAAGTAAAAGATGAAAAATCATCGGAATTGCAAGATGTTATGTTACAAATTGAAAAATTAAAGGTGGAAAAAGAGCAGAGCATTAAAGAAATTACAGATAAACTAAATAGGGATCATAAAGATGAAATAGACAACATCCGATCTCGTTTTAAATTAATGTCTATTGCCAAATTAGATCGTAGCCCCACTGAACCTTTGGAAAGTCCCGATCATGATTTCAAAGAACCTCCTAGCCATGAAGCGTTAATTTTACAGATAAAACAGAATTATGAGAACGATAAGGCAAAAGCTATTAAAGAAGCTATTGAACTAGAGTCAAAACGATGGGCAAAAATTTTAGATGACAAAGTAAAGGAACTTAGTAATAAATTCGAAAATGAGAAACAAAAACTCGTTGAGGAGGTTGCGAAAAAAATATCAGAAGATAAGGACAAAATGATTGATGTCCTTAGAGAACGGGAGGCGAATTTAAATCTTGAATGCATCAAATACAAAAATACAATCCAACAGTTGGCCGAAAACGAAACTGAAAGACAAAACGAAGAACTTGAAAGTAAAATAGAAAAGTTGAGGAACGAGAATGATAGATTAGAAATGGAACTGTGCTTAGAGAGATCGAAGAAAACCGACGAAGGTATACAAGACATGGGTATTTCCGTCTCAGTTGCAGAAGGTAATTTGTAACTTTAATTATACTTATTCTTTTTTTTTTGAAATTTAAATTTAACAGAAGTTTGACAAAATTGAAACATAAAACATTATATAACATCATTCTCAAGAACTCAAATTATGGCAATTTACATTTCTTATTCATTATTTACAGGAAAAGTAGATGTAGCTACGAGTCCCATGGCCAAAAAAGATAAACTTTCTAAAAGTCAAATGTTGACCGGAAAATCAGGAAAATTAAACGTTGATTCGGTTTCGTTCGGTGATACCGTTGCTATCGTTTGGGACGAAGAGCATGAGAATTACGTTATCGTCCAAGACAGCGAAAGTCTGTATTTTTTACACTCGAATTGCATCGAACCTCTTGGTTTGGCTAAAAAGGGAGAAAAGCGAATTGCATATTGCTTTGGAATAGTAACTGAAAAAGAGCATTGCAAAGCTAGAAAGGTTAGTAAAATGAAATTCGTCTGTCAAGAGCAATAAGTTCTTAGTAAGCAGTTTATTGAAACTCCCATACGTAGATCTTTCCAGATTTTTTAATTTGGTTTGCATATAAGCTGCAACATAGATTAAAATTGATAAGTAGATACCTTTTTAAATCCGTTGTCAAATATTTAAAACACCACAGTTAGCACTAAATATCAGTAGGTGGCGATATAGTGCTCATGACATGACCTGTTTGCCCCTTAACTTAAACATTTACTTTTTTTTAGTCAAGCAATCGTTACAAAGTTCCCCAAGACACCACATTTTATCGTTTGAAAGTGGTGCCGCGGTCAAAAAGTCGTGAACGAGTTGCTCCCATGACCCAAAGTCAGGTCGTAGAGCAAACGGTTGCCGCAGTCGAGGGTCAAAGTTCATCAAAAGTGTGCCAGTCGTTGCCCCCTACGCCTGTTAATGTTCAAACATTTTCTGTTGAAGAGTCGATACAGTGTTTAAAAGACGCTATGGAAGAACCATCATCATCATCATCATCTGCAGTTCCCCAAGGTAACGACGACAGAATAAAGGATGAAAAGAAAGATAGAGATGTTAAGAAGGAACAAACCAACGTTACTCGGTAGGTTACCATCTTTTACAAATTAATGAAAATAATTCTAATATTATAATAATATTAATAACAAATAACAATAGGTACCATTGTAAATAGATATCATTTCATTTATATAGGAGTTTATATATGACGAAACATTTTTTAAATAAAAAAGCAGATGACGAAAGTCTGTCAATATTATACATATTGCATATATAGAAGATTGTTATTGTAAATTACAGTACGCAAATTTATCATTACTTTTGTAGTTACTTAAATTGTGATTTTGTGATATTTTTAGTTTCCTTTTTTTAAGTGACAGATCGTATATTTTTATTTACTGTCCCAGTCCATTCAGTGGCAGTTGACATACTCATTTTTATTATTTTGATAGTCTTCCAGTCAAAGACTATTACTACACAATATGATAAGATTGAATTTTCGGGTCAAAGTCTAAACAGGTTGTGGCAGAGTGTCAGTGGTTTATAGCTGCTGCAGAAATTTTAATTTTTATATTCTTTTTATGTACATTATTGTTTTGCTTAGGGTTTTTTAAATACACTTGTTTCTTTTGCTTGGGTAGTATGAATGAACATTTGGAACATTTCTCTTCCTCTCGTTATAAATTTACGTTAACTTCACAGTAACAACCGAGTAGTGGGGTGCCATATTTTCTATTTATTAAATCCTCAACAGTCTAAAAAAAGTTTTTTCTGAAGATATTTATTCTCAATTATTTGTTTGTTTTTCAAAAATAAGCAACTAGTGTTTGAATTAAATATAGCATTGCAACCCAAAATTTCACATAACGTAAAACGTTTTTAGATACTAAAGGTACAGTTAGAGATGAACAATATGATTACTCCTTGTTTGCTATAATTTTTACATTCATCTTTAAATTTACAAAGATTTAAATTATTTTTTTGTGGTCTTAAATGATCTTTTAATCTCATTAACATATATGTATTAATTAAAACTTTAAAAGGCAAGACATTTTTGTTGATATTTAAAAAAATAACTGTCTAAGAAAGTTGGTTACCCCAATAAAACACTATTCAAGAAATTTTCGATACCTATGTATTTGGAGTGCTGTACAATTTATTTTCGACTTTTCATTTCCAACTGATTTCTCTTCGTAGAAAAGATTTTTTTAAATTGATTTACTATTGTCATTATGAATGTTATTTTCTTTAACAGTTATCACATCCCTTGCATTTGTGAAGGGAAATAATACGTATGTAAAAAGTTCATTGCGAATGAAGCAAATGTGTAGGTTTCATATTTCTGTGACATGTATGCATGCAATGTTCTTTTAATGCTATGGTCACACGAATTGTATATAAATATTATACGAAATTCAAATTATGACGTTTATGCTATCTTAGATTTGTTAAACTAGGCGTTTTTGTTTACTCTTTCCATTTTTAATACAAGCACTGCAAACCTGCTTAAATTTTTTATTCTAAGAGAAACGGAATAATAACAAATATTTTAATTAACATTGTAAAATATGAACTTTTATACATTATTAATGTTTCAGCCGAAAAGAAATGGTTTTTATAACACCTAATAAGACAAGTACTATTAAAGTGACATTTTTTTTACAGCGATATCGCAAATTTTTCGATTTTTCAATTTTCGTCCCTCCTGTTGCGAAAGTCCTATTTTTTTAAGTAGTTTCTTGAAGAACTGGATCATGAGGCATCCTAAAAATATTTTGAGCCAACTAATATTAATTAATTTTAATTGTAATATATATATAATTTTTTTATTCGACACGTAGAAACTAGGAATGAAACTTTAAAGCCAGCAGTTACAATCAAATACATAATTGTATTTAAAAATATTTTCTAATAAGCTATTCCAACAAACAAAAAAAAAATTAAAACCACAATAAATGCTTATAATTATTGATTAGTAAGTAGAGAGTAATTATAGCCAAAATGTTAATTTATTTAATTTTTTTCACTGTCTTACAATTATTAGTGCGTGTGCATTTTTATTAACCAACGTTCTACATAGATATATAACAATTATTATTAAAAAGAAACTTATTATTGCTTGTAAGATACAAACTCTCTTCTAGCAGGGTTAAAAAAATACTTTGTGGTTTTTTCTGGAGTTATTTCTAGTGAGTTTAGATATAAGTTATATAATATTGTTTTTATATCGCAAAAAAAGTGGTGTTATCTCCTAATAAGACTGTAAGATACTTTTGCAACATGCAAAATCGTCAAAGGACCTTTTTAAAGATCATTCAACAACTGTACTTTTATTAAAAGAACAAAAAAAAAAGGCAAGAATGTCATCTTTTATTTCCTACAGTCTTATTATATTGATGTTAGTGATCTAATAAATCAGACGTTTAGCAGGACAAGTTTAAAATTGAAATTAAATAAGTAACTTCAAATGTGATTTAGTTTAAGCATTGTTGAGTAGTTTTGTTACTGAAAGTGCCGAATTGTGACTTTGGTATTAGAAATTAATTAGTCGTAAAGGATTTAAGTTATTCTAGCAATTATAGCCGAAATATGTATCGTACGATAATTTAAGCGTTTACTACTACTATTATTACTTTTTTTTGTACAATGTGTGGACATTACCGTGAATGTATACTTGTGCGCGTGTTTAATTGGAATGCTATTCTAGTTTGTTTTTTTTTTTCATCATCATCATTATTATTATTGAGCCCTGTTTTGCAATGTAACTGTGAAAAATTTTTATAAATGCAAATGTGCAATAAAATTATAAAATCAAAAACACTGACCATTTTCATTATGTAATTTATTTACTAACCCAGTAGATATAGTTGGTTCATATTTGTCGTCCAGTTTTTGTCTCTTAAGTTTTAAAACGAGTTTGCATGCTTCATTATTTGGTATGACAATTTCATTTTTAAATTAGAAAAGTTGATTTCCAGTTCTTTATGAGAACATATACGTATTTTTTGGTGTCTGCAGAAACCTACCTGCTTCTGTTTATATGGTGTATGTATTCAATTTTGAGGGGGTGGAACCAGTTTTAATTAGAAAAGATTAAGCGCACCATATAAAAATTTCTAAGTGACTTTTAGAGTAGTTAGGGCTGTCCTAAGCAAAGGTGGGGGGAGTGTGTTTGGTAAGAGACTATTTTGAAGCATATTCAGGAATGGGGGCTTTGTTGGTTAATAGGTACCTGAGCAACATGGTATTTACTGTTAAAAAAATTGAGTTCTGCATTTTGAAGCACCTAATTTGAAACTAAAGCAGGTAATCCAATCTTAAAGAGTAAACAAGAGGTAAGTGAATAGAACATTATTTCTAAAGGGTCAAAAATGCTGAAAAAACACGTTCGAGGGAGGAGGTTCATGGATAAATATTTTCTACCTGCTTCTGTTTATATGGTGTTTGTATTCCCTTGTAAATTTTGAAGGGGATGGAACCAATTTTAATTAAAAAAGATTATGCACACCATATAAAAATTTCTAACTGACTTGGAGTAGTTAGGGCTGTCCTAAGCAAAGGTGGGGGGAGTGTGTTTGGTAAGAGACTATTTTGAAGAATATACGGGAGTGGGGGTTGGTTGGTTAATAAAGTACCTGAGCAACATGATATTTATTGTTAAAAAGATTGATTTCTGCATTTTGAGTACCTAANGGGGATGGAACCAATTTTGATTAAAAAAGATTATGCACACCATATAAAAATTTCTAACTGACTTGGAGTAGTTAGGGCTGTCCTAAGCAAAGGTGGGGGGAGTGTGTTTGGTAAGAGACTATTTTGAAGAATATACGGGGGTGGGGGTTGGTTGGTTAATAAAGTACCTGAGCAACATGATATTTATTGTTAAAAAGATTGATTTCTGCATTTTGAGTACCTAATTTGAAGCAGGTAATCCAATCTTAAAGAGTAAACAAGAGGTAAGTGAGTAGAACTTTATTTCTAAAGGGTCAAAAATGCTGAAAGAACACGTTATTCGAGGGATGGGGTCCATGGATAAATATTTTCTTCATCTATCACATTTCAACTGGTTCCTGACTTATCTGACTCTAAACCAACCCTTATATCCTTTATATATTATTACTATTTTTTATTTATTTTTGCTTCATTCCCATACTCCTCTAACAATATCAATATCGTTATCATTTTATTTAAGATATTTAACTTTCACTGAACTATTTAATTTAATTGAAACCAGATATCTTACTATTCCCAATGCCCATAAAAGGGTACAGTGTACCTTATAAAAAAGGCACCGATACTACTGAGGTTTTCGGGTCAATTTTTCTTAAAACTCAATATCACATTTATTATTACAAATATGTACATTTATACAACTTATTATATTTACAAGGAATGTTACAACTATGAACTAATTTCAAAGATCATTCGAAAGCAGCAGTACTTTTTATAAAAAAGGCACATTAAAAAGGCAAAAAGTGCTGAAATACTGGCAACAACATTTATTACTTTCAATTAAAAATGGATGGTATTTCAGCACTGCCACTGTAATGATAATTACGTTAATAATTATTGCCTCGGAATATCGGTCAAAGAAATAAATTCGTCACTACCGAAATGCAAATTATTGCTCGGAGGCGGAAAATTATTGACTGTACGAAAATCGAATTCGTTTACAGAATTTTCGTTGCCGAATTGTTTACCTTCGCATGCAAGTAGACTAGAATAATCAATATACTGAGGAATATCAACAAATTTATCAGTCGTTTCGCTATGTCTAACATCAAAGTTGCAGTCGTCGAATCCTTGAAGATGCGCTTCCAGTCTGTTATTAGTACAAACGTCGTGAGATTTATTAGACAAACTCAAATAGTCTAATTCGATAAAATTTTGTGAACCCATATTTTGTGTCAAGTCGTACCGATTTTCACAACCGACATGTTCGTATTTCATCCTTTGCGGAAAATCGTATTGATTATTATGGATTAAATTCTCACTTCCGGTTCCGTCAGGTGATTCCGGCATATTAAACCTACTACAGGAACTGTTATTGCTATCGTCGTTAGTGAAATGGTTCCAGTAATCCTCGGTTTTAAATTCTCTGTGGATGGTGCCACTTCCCAAGTCCAGAAGGGTTGGTGGCGAATGGGAACTACTCGTATTATTTACGTGGTGGTTGAAATCCGATCTCAAAGGTTGGTCCAGTTGAAATATTTCTTCTGGTTGGAATATGTCGGCTGGAATATTGGCAAAATCACATTGGGAGTTTATACTTGTTTCAAAGTCAACTGGGAGCGATTGGGTTGACGTGGATTCTTGAGTCCAGTAGGAATCCAGAAGCTGAGGTTGTTGGTAAGACACTGGGGAATGGTTTGAGTACTGCTGATTATTACTTGAGAACGCCTGAGGGATGTTACACATACACTCAAAGGGGGGACAGGAACATGAATAACCTGGAAAAACGCAGAAATTTATTTAAATATATNAGTAATCTAATCTAGGTCTACCTCTACCCCTCCTAACTCCTGTTTCTGCCTCTAATATGTCTCTGACTAGACCTTCATGCCTAAGAAGGTGTCCTACCAACCTATCTCGCCTATTTTTTATTGACTTCCACAGAGTCCTCTGTTCTCCTATTCTTTCTAATACCTCTTCATTTCTAACCTTTTCTACCCACGACATCCTCATCATCCGCCTATAACACCACATTTCGGGGCTACTTATGTTAGGAATTAAAAGTCTTGTTATACATTACCTTTTTCTTGGTCCGCTATTAATGGAGGTGGTTGAAAATTTTTTAGAATATTGTTTCCTTCTCTTGACGATCGTATGGTAGGCTCCCGAAGGGACATTAACTGTAACAAAAATAAATATTACTTGCCGAAGATTTCGTAGATGAAGGTAAATAAAACTGATAAACAGGCTTCGGATAATTATGCATTAAAAAAGTACAAAATATGCATGCAAATATGCATTTAAAATATTAACTATATGCATTTAAAGATGCTTTCAAATGTCGTTTTTTAGATTGAAATAAAACAAGTTTTAAGGGTTATATTTGTCTATTTACAATTTTACATATTTTTGCTATTACATTTTATTATAGATAATATGATATAATAAATTTTCAAATATAAATTTACGGCGATTATCAGATAAAATATTTTTAATTTCTGAAAAACATCTTTTCACGTCACAGGAAACTATAGGAGCAAATGGTAAATTAACTACGTCCGTAATATTCAAATTATTGGGAGCAACAGCATCAGTTTCTTCCTCTTGTAAAACCTTGCAAATGTTTTTTAAATTTTGATATCCCGTATTTTTTGCTATACTGACGACAGTTTATTAGCAAAACTGCTATTTTTTAATTTATTTAATTTATCAAAA